AGAGGCAGCTGATCGATGACTCTCTCTCATCGATGTTTCTAACTCTCTATCTCTCTCCCTTCCTCTCTGTACAAATCAATAAAATAAAATAAAAAGTGTAAACAGTATAAAAAGCAAAAATATAGGGCTGGACAAATAGGTTTATAGTTGTAATACAAGTAATATGATAATAAATAATAATGCAAGAATAAACTTTTGTACACTCCACCATTATAAACTTACTTTTGTCCATCGCTGTATATATGCTTCCTCAAAAAAAATGTTTTCCAGAATAAACATTAAAACATGTTTTAGAAACAAAAATAAAGGGAGTCTTAAAAATTTTTAATATATCTATAAAAATTCAATGAAAAGATAATGTTGGAAGATCAAAATAAAGAAATCTTCTAAAAAGAGCAGAGACAACAGTGTCAAAACAACTGGAGAAAAAGAAGAAAACCATCAGTGAAAGAAGTCTAATATCTGACGAGGATAAAATCAAATTTGTCAAAAGCATATAAGAGAGTAGAGCGATGTCTTCAAAACTCCGAGGAAAAATTATTTTTAACTTAAAATTGTATATGTAGTCAAACTACCAATGAAATGTGATCGTGGAATAAGAACATTTAGACAGGTAAGGACTCAGGAAATTTGCCTCTCATATCCCACTTCTTATTAAATGTCCTAGGAAGTGCTCCAGTAAATTAGGAAACAGCACATCCAACACAGGAGGATGACCAAAGGTCATGGGATGACGTCTCTGAGGCCAGACAAGAAAACAACCACTATAGCCCTAGCCAGTATGGCTCTAAGAATAGAGTGTTGGCCCATGAACTGAAGGGTCATGGGTTCGATTCCAGTCAAGGACACATACCTCAGTGCAGGCTTGATCCCCAGCTGGGACACATGCAGGAGGCAATAAATCAATGCCTTTCTCTCACATTGATATTTTTCTCTTTCCCCTTCTCTTCCATTCTCCCTAACCATCAATGGAAAAATACCCTTGGGTGAGGATTGACGAAAGAAAAGGTAGGGGGGACAAATTAAAGGAAAGGAAGGAAAGAAAGGCCAGGAGAGAGGGAGGGAGGATGGGAAGGATGGATGCAGGGAGGGAGAGAGGGAGGAAAGGAGGGACAGAGAGTACAGATTGGCACAGAAGACAAATGCAGAACAGATCTCTCCAGTGATGAGAACCTAGTAAAACTGACTGAGAAGTTGGGGAAAAAATTTAAGACATTTCCAGAAACTTATGTGAAAAACAAGAGGATTATTAAGTCCAGAAGAAATAAAATTATACAAAATGTAATCATGGTGCACTGCTTTGCACTACAGTATAATTAAATAGTGAATTCATTAAGTAAATATTATGACATAACTTTATAATGGGAGAAGGGGAGATAAGTGTGTTAGACAGCTTAATTATCTGGTAATATCAAGGTAATGTCTAAAAGTGTTAAATCAAGCAACAGTAGAATAGGCATATTATTTAGATACACTAAGATAAATACCAAAATAAACTTTTGGAGTCAAAATGATTGTCTCTGGAAGGTAAAGTAAGTTGGGACTACTGCTTTTCATCATAAGACCTTTAGATTTTTTTTAATTGTGTACGTTACTTTAATAAATTTTGCAGATATATAAAAGCAAATATAGTTATCATGGTATGACTTATTTTGAAATTTCAAATGACAACAGGGGAAATGTGATTTTTTTACATTTAATGAATGGGCTAAAAAAAAGAGGCTCTAAAACACTTTACTAGATCATCCAAACTCTTTATTTATGCATCAAAATTCTTCTTGAGAAAGCACTTCCTCACCCTGTTCTTCCCTTCAAATAATCATGTTCACAAAGAACAAAACTTTGTGACTTAATTAACAAACGACCATACTGTAATTCTAAGGCAGTGTTTCCATAAAGATAGGTGAACAGGTTGGACAATATTCATTAACCCTACCTTTAGCTGCTCCTTTCCTAGTCTGGCTTTTCATTTCCTGTATGCCCCACTCACTTCATTATTTTCATATCCTTGCCTTTACCCCACTTTTTCATTTTCTTTACTAGACATTTCCTGTGAAGTTTAGCCTGTCTGCCTATAACACAGGTGACAATTTGACGACTCCTTGGTAAGAACACGTAACTCAATAATACGTATAATATTGTTGATGCTGTCAAAGTGTTTAATATACTATACTAGAGGCCAGTTGCACAAAATTCATGCAAGAGTAGGCCTGCCTTGCCTCGGCTGCAGGTACTGGCTTCCCTCTGGCACCTGGAACCCAGGCTTCCCTGGCAGCCCCAGCTTTGTGTGAAAGGTATCTGGAAGGATATCTGTCTAATTAGCATATTACGCTTTTATTATTATAGATATCCATACGGCAATCAAATCTAGGCATAGAAATGCTAAAACTTGAGCTCAATGACCCTGAGCTAAAATTTAGTGCTAAACATTAGCAACAACACAAAGGCATTATTTTAGGAAGACACTCGGGACATAGCAAAATTAATTTCGTTCATTTTTATTAATACAGAACATACTAATAGAAAGTTATCTTTTAACATAACCAAGGTTACAAATAAACTTACTAGTCAATAAATAATATTCATTCGACTCTCCTCTTGAATAAACAATTCTTTACTTGATAATAATTATTACCAACTTATTTTTAAACTGCCTTTTTCTGTATTATTTCAATGACATTTCTTAGTTTTTACTAATAATTCCTTCAATTGAAAAATTTCACATATCAAAATATTTTCTGCAAGTTAATGCATTCTTCAATGTCTTCTATTTAACCTAGTTATCTTAAAATGAAACATAATCCTTTGAAAGTTGAATATTACATTGTTTCCAAAAAATGAGCATAAAGCCCACAAGGAAAAGGCCATATAAATGTTCCACATTCTTCATATTTACCAAAAGAAATCTCTTAGAGCTGAAATGGGAGGAGACAGGAAAAACTAAAGCCATCAATGTAGTTATAAAATAGATAAAACTCCAAATGTATTTTAATATTTCATCTTCACCACAGACGAGAAAATGTTGGAAGGGCTCTTCAACACTTCTTTAGCAGCACCTTTGGTCCCTCAATTAGAAAAAGGGATGTGGGATGGAAGTCCTCCTCAAACAGAACAAACTCAATCTGGACAACTAGCAGGAACCCCTCTCCCCCACTAATGTATTCCAGAGGATCAACTGCTATAGGTAAGAGGGTCAATGATCAGAACAAATAATAATATTCTAAAAGATGACAAAACCAAGACTATTTTTAGACAAAGAATACCCTGTGCACTCAGAAACTTCAGGATAATAATATATTAAGTAACTCATGCAAGTGATATTCTACAAATTAAAAGTCACGCTGTACAAAACTTAAGTGTGGCACATTTCTACTATTATGTTATTTTTTGGTTTTGGTTTTTTAAAAAACATATTAATCAAAATTGACATATTTCCCAGACCTTCTGATTTAAAATATAACTAAATTGATAATTACACAGGAGGGACAAAATTACAAATTCTAAATAAGCAGGCAAATCTTCTATACAAACATATGAGAAAAAAAAAATTTCAATGAGATTAAACCCTCTAATTAAGACATACATTTTTATGAATGTGAAAAAAATAAGTTTTCATTCAAGAGTAAGTTCTATAGCAAACAAATTACATTTATTCAATTAGGAATATTAAAATAATTCCAGTGATAGAACATACAATAACTTTAACCATATATATTATAATTTTATCATGTACATACTCAAAAATTTCCAGAATTTAATAAGGAAATTAAAAAAAAAATCTACTTTCTTAAATATTTCTTAGGCCTGGCCAGGTGACCCATTTGGTTGGAAGCATCATGGTATACACTAAAAAGTTGTAGGTTCAATTCCCGGTCAGAACACATATGTAGGTTGTGGGTTGGATTCTCAGTCTGGATGTGTGTAGGAGACAACCAAGCAATGTTTTTCTCTCACATGGATGTTTCTCTCTTCTCTCTTCTCTCCTCTTTTTTTTTTTTTTCTCTCTCTCTCTCTCTCTCTCAAATAATTTAAAAAAAATATATATATATATCCTCAGGTGAGGAATATATATATGTGTATATATATATATATATAACCAACCAAAACAATTGGTACATTAATTAAAGAGAGTGTGCATGCACATCCATATTTGACCTATATGCAAAAGTTGAATGAAGTATAGAGGAAATGAAAGTTACTATTTTCCAAAAATTTCTGCAATGTAATGTTAGTACTTAAGTCAAAACACTTACCTGCAAAGTAAAAAACAGCTTGAGGTATTTCCATGATCACATGTAAAAACATACCAACTGAATTGGGGTTCCTGACTGCAACATGTTAACCAAATGGAAAGAGGAATTTTAAATTCTACCTGACCTATTCAGACATGAGCATAAGTAAGACGTCAAAGGTGAAATCAAAACTAAGCTTAACAAAGAACTATACTGGATAAATTAAATACATGAACCACCTCACCAAAGATGATACTTTACGCCTTTACACATGACACATGACAATGATGAAGTGTTTTATTTAGATTTGGTCTTTCTTCATTTCTTCATAACTTTGAATTCCAAAGGTTAGCAAATCATTATACTCATACATCTTGCAATTCCTCTCTTTACATAATAGGCACACATATACAACACATATGTCAATATAATATTTATCAACACAGCATAAACATTTAAGCAGCAGATACATTTCACATGATAGAGGCTCTATGCATCATATGGGCTGTCCCATCAAAAAGCAAACATTAGAATGCCATTTCAGTAGTTACAGTGCTGACATGATCAATAAAGATAATTTTATACCCATCATATATTTTCATAAGTCATCCATAGGAAATAAGTAAAGGACAAAGACTGTTTTTTTAAATAAAAAGTTATATGCCAACTTAAAAAATGACATACTAACCAGACATCGGCATTCAAAAGCTAGGCTGAATAGAACTGGCCTTGATGTACATGCGGTAAATTTGTTTTCAGAATATAAAATTAAATGGTAATGTCAGCAGTATTACTACTGTTTCTATATTTATGATTAATTACTAGCAATACAACTCCCAGAAGGAAGGAGATGGATCCAGTGGTGATATAAGCAATCCCCAAAAATGGATTTTTTCCTCCCATCCATGAAATAGTGCTTAAGATCATCCGTTTTCGTCCATCAAAAGAATGTACAGGGTAATCTGAAGAGTGAATAGGAAAACTTTTCCATGTTCAGTGACTTTATTTTTAAAATATACCTTAAAAAGTTAGCATTTAATTGCTTGTAATTCATTGGCATAATTCTATGATACACAGGCACCTTACTCCTATGTTCTGAATCATAAAATAATTGTGTAATATTTATCTTGAAGAACTGGTTTAGCAGATTAAATGTTAGTAGTATAAGCCAATATAGTTTGCAAGAAGACACAACCAAATTTAACAGTTGTATCATTTCTCAGTACTTATGCCCTCATTACACAGGAGGGGCAAAATGCCACAAATAAATGACTAAAAGGTTTAATGGAACAGAAGGGGTCTATGTAATATTTTCTTTCTTTCTTTTTTTTTTTAAATATATTTTATTGATTTTGTACAGAGAGGAAGGGAGAGAGATAGAGAGTTAGAAACATCGATGAGAGAGAGTCATCGACCAGCTTCCTCTTGCACACCCCCTACTGGGGATATGCCCACAACCAAGGTACATGCCCTTGACCGGAATCGAACCCGGGTCCTCCAATCCCCAAGCCGACACTCTATCTACTGAGCCAAACCGGTTTCGGCACTATGTAATATTTTCAACAATAAATATTTAAAATAGAAACTAAAAAAGGAAATACAATGTGAAAAAAATATTTCAAATGAATACTAGTAGCAGTAAATCCTCAAAGAGGAGGTTGACAGACCAAGAGACAAGGAAAAAAATGAAGGGATCAGAAGTCTCTGTGAGCTCAAAGAGCATGTGTAGCAAGAGTAGTTATGAGAATATGAGAGGACTCTAAGCACAGGGTAAAAAAGCATTATACTAAAGTCTTAACTTGCTGATTTGGAGTAATGATAAAACTCATGGTGTGACACAGAGAGGTGTTGGCTAAAACAGAGTGGAAGTGAAAGGTGGATTGTTAAAGAGATTTAAGAAATGAGACACCAGTTTATTGGATGAGCATGGACCAGCTCTAGGATTTTACCAATAGGTCAAAAAATGAGACAATTAAGACCTTATGTAAAACATTTACAACATTTTCACAAGTGTCTTGAATCAAGTACTGGGTCCCATCTGTTTCTCAGGGCTTGATGACCCCAAATGGCAGGCTTAACTCTACTATTAATAGTTTCTTAAATCAGTTCACACTGATTGAGGTAGGACTGATTATGAGAGCTCTAACTCACTCAGAGCTCAGAGGAGTATGGTCCCAAATCACCCATGCTAGTATCTCCTGGTATCACAAACCTAAAAAATGGGCTTCTGCCTTAATTCTAATATCTAGTTCTCACCTTATACCTAGTTTTGATAATTAATCTTTGATATTTTGCAGGTCCATCTTGTCTATCTTCAAAATATCTTGCATTCTCCTGACAGTTCTCCTCTCCATTCCTGGGATGCAAATTCTCAGCTGAGAATTCCTGAGTGCTCACTCCAAAGGCTTATACTTTATTGTAGTCTGGAGACTTCAGGTTTGGATGCTGTGACCAAGTTTTTGAAACTGGATCCACGTAGAAGCAATTCTGGGCAGACACAGTCAGTTCAGGTGCCAGTAGAAAGAGCATTATCTTGCTATTGAACGCTGCCCTGTACTTTGGCTACACTGGCCTTCCCATTTAGCTCAATTACAGTCACCCATGTAAAAATATCTAGCTTACAAATAAATCCAGAACCTGCATTTTAAGCAATTTTAAAGCATTATCTTGAGACTGTAGCCAAAGTAAAGGGCTGCTATTCAGTATCAAGATAATGCTCATTCTACTAGCACCTGACTGGGTCTGTCCGCCCAAAATTGCTCCTAGGTGGACCTAGTTTAAAAAACTTGGTAACTTTTAATCTGTCATTAGCAAACATTTAAATGTTAATATTTAAGAAACTTTTCATTCATAAGATACACAATGAACTAGAGATTTAAAAATGTAAGGACTGTTTTGAATAAATGGTAATGCTCAACATTTCCATCTTAGGAAAGGTTGGTATGGCCTGGTCTAAACTATCTAGGGATGGTGATGGATGGAAAAGTCATGGCCTTTGGGGAGAACAGCTTGACCATGAGCCCCAACTCTTCTACTTATTTCCTGTGTAACCTCAGGCAAGTCACTTAAATGCTCTATGTTCCTGCAGCCTTGTCTATAACATGGAGATGACAATTCATAAAGCTTGAATTTAAGTAAAATAATGGAAGATACTTAGTACAATGCTGACACAGTCAGAATGAAATAAATTATATTTATCAACACTGAAAATTACATCTGTTATTAATGTGGCAAAAGACAGCTAATAATAAAAATGTTTTGTACTATGAATAGAGCAATAGTTAGAAACAATAATGTTGATATTAGTTAACATATCTGATTTTTAATATGTAAAAATATATATTAAAACAGCTTATAGCCCAATCACCATGGCTCAGTGGTTGAACGTTGACCTATGAACCAGGAGGTCACAGTTCTATTCCCAGTTAGGGCTTATGTCCAGGTTGTGGGCTTGATCCCCAGTAGGGGAGCATGCAGGAGGCAACGGATCAATAATTCTCTCTCATCATTAATGTTCCTCTCTCTCTCTCCTTCTCCCTTCCTCTCTCTGAAATAAAAATATATTTTAAAAAATCAACTTGTGCCACCAACACTTATTTATTAGGTAAATTCACTGGCCTTCCCATTAAGCTCAATTACAATCACCCATGTAAAAATATCTAGCTTACAAGTAAATCCAGAACCTACATTTTAAATAATTTTACCAAACAATATGCTTAAACCCTAGTATGAGATATATAAAAATTTAAGATATTTCTGGTAGGTATAAAAGATACTTCCCCAAACACACACTGGTATAAAAATGCAGAGATCAAAACTCAATACAAAGTAACATACCACATAACTAAGATACGGCTGGATTACACTCCTTTCCAATTCTATGAATCTGAGCCCATGGCCAAAAAAAGGATACTGTATGTGATATTCAAAAAGTAGTCTCCAGCTGGTAACGTTGGATGTAAATTACTTTTCCTCTCTATAAGACGATATAACTTACGAAAAGTAGGCAATGCTGCAGTACGCATCCAAACAATAAAATCTTCATTTATGAACCCATTATTATCTTCGTCAGAATCCAGCAAGTATACTGGTTTAACCCAGTTTACTGGCTTTGTTGTATCTTAAAAAAGGAAGGGTGGGAGTGGGAGAGACAAAATATTCTATTCTATTAAAAGTTTCACTGAAAATTCACACTCTACTAAAACAAAGATATACATTACACAACCAGAATTTTTTTTTATTTTCAAAGGTTTGAATACATTCATATTCTAAGGAAGTCTTACATCAAGAGAGAAACCAATTCCTCATGTAACAACTTAACATAATTACAAAGATTTAATATCTCAATTAAGAGAATACTAAAAGTAAGCTGTTGAGTATAAACCAAAAGGCAGATAATTTAATGCAAAGATATAATGGTATGAAACATTACATTGTGAAATTGAGACATAGAAGTAAATTTGGATCTATAGTTATAATAAATAACAGGTGTTTGTTAAAAAGAAACTCTGTTGCAGTTTTCAAAGATTATGGATAAAATGCTTATAAGAAAATACTAGAGAAGTTTAAAAGTTTACATTTCCTTTAGGATTTCATTATATTAGAACAGACTACATACTTTTACCTTACTATGTATGAAGTTAAGAAAAGTAGTTGTTTTTCAAAAAGCATAAACATCTTCAAAGACTAGAAAGATAGAAAATTTTAGGTACTTTATTAAAACTTCTAGCTTATATCATGTTTTAAAATATTAGTAATATTTTACCTTTGAATCGTTCTTCTAGGGTGCCTTCTCCGGGGGGGTTTCTAAATTTCACATTTTTATCTGTCCACCAGGCAATTCCTTTCTTTTTCAAAGGAATTGCCGCTGAATAAGATCCATTGACAACCAGAAACAATTCTAATGTATCTAAACATAAGAAAAGAAAGATATTGCTAAATATTGGAAATCCATAATACCCGCTTTACTCCATGAGAAACGAGGATCTGGTATTTGCTCCCAAAAGTGGTGGTAACAGCGTAGGTATATGATGTATATTTGCTCTTGATTATTTATATATGAATTAACAATTAAAAATTTATAATCCCAGATGGATTTTTCTTTCTTCTCAATATAGTTCTAGGTTACTTTCCTATCTGGCTAGCTAGTATGTGATAAGATCAAATGTTTTCATATTAAACCAAATAAAACTATTTGGAAGGTAAATCTGCCTTTTTTTTCTTTTAAAACATGCATTCATAAATAGCTAATGGTTTATGCATTTCTCTATCTGTACTGTCCAATATCGTAGCCAGTTATTAGATGTCTACAGAGCTTTTGAAATTACAGCTGGTCTAAATGAATGTTTTGTAAATGTATAATATATATCAGTTATCAAAGACTTAGTATTAAAAATAAAATATCTCATCAACAACTTTTATATAATGCATATCATTTATATGCTGAAATGATGTTTCGGGACTATTGGGTTCAATTAAATATATTAAAATTAATTTCGTAACCTCTCCAACACTTGTTAGTATTTGTCTTATTGATAATAGTCATTCTAACATATGTGAGTTGGTATTTTATTATAGTTTCTTTTTTTAAAAATAAATCTTTATTATTCAGATTATAATTGTTCCTTTTTCCCTCCACAGCTCCCCTCCACCAGGTACTTACACACCTACCCCCCGGCTTCCTCATGCATAGGTGTACAATTTTTGTTTAGTCCCTTCCTGCACCCCCCCACTCCCTTTCCCCCCGAAAATTATCAGTCCACTCCCTTTCTATATCCCTGATTCTCTTATATTCACCAGTTAATATTGTTCATCAGATTTTTTATTCCCTTGTTTGTTTTAGATCCACTTGTTGATAGTTATGTATTCATTGTTCATAATTTTTATCTTTTTCTTCTTCCTCTTCTTAAAGAATACCTTTCAGCATTTCATATAATTCTGGTTAGGCAGTGATGAATTCCTTTAGCTTTTTTTTTTTTATTATTTGTGAAGCTCTTTATCTGGCCTTCAATTCTGAATGATAGCTTTGCTGAGTAATCTTGGTTGTAGGTTCTTGCTATTCATCACTTTGAATATTTCTTGCCATTCCCGTCTGGCCTGCATAGTTTCTGTTGAAAAATCAGCTGACAATCGTATGGGTGTTCTCTTGCTGCTTTTAAAATTCTGTCTTTTGCTCTTGGAATTTTAATTATGATGTGTCTTGTTGTGGTCCTCTTTGGATTCCTTTGTTTGTGGTTGTGTGCGCTTCTTGGACTTGTAAGTCTATTTCTTTCACCAGGTGGGGGAAGTTTTCTGTTATTATTTCATTATCTTTCATTATCTTACTCTCTCTCTTCTTCTGGGACTCCCATAATTCTTATGTTGGTACGACTGACGTTGTCCCAGAGGCTTCTTACACTATCTTCAACTCTTTATATTCTATTTGCTTTTTCGGAGGAGTGTTTTTTTGCTTCTTGGTATTCCAAATTTTTGACTTGATTCTTGCGATCCTCTAGTCTGCTTTTAGGTCTCTGTATATTTTTTATTTCAGTCAGTGAATGCTTAATTTCTAGTTGATCCATTTTTATATGCTCAAGGGTCTCGTTTATTTTATTGGTCTTTTCTTGGAAATTCTTTAAATACCTTATAACTGTGGTTTTGAACACTATATCCAATCTTTTGCTTCCCTCCATTTCCTTCAACTGAGGCCTGCCTCTTTGTCTCATTTTAGCTGCTTCCCTGAGTTGATGGAGTGGCTTTGCATGCTAGGTGTCCTGGCAGGGCCCAGTAGCTCAGCCTCCCCAGTTACCTGTGGTGGGTACTCTTGGTGTAGCCCTTTGTGGGTTGTATGAGCAGTCTTATTGTAGTTAAGCCTTGCTTGTTGTTGTTTTCCTTTTTTGAAATTTTTTAAAAATATATATTTTATTGGGTTTTTACATTATATTTATAACTAGAGGTCCAGTGTACAAAATTCATGCACAGGGGAGGGGGGTTATCCCTCAGCCCAGCCTGCACCCTTTCCAATCTGGGACGTCCCTCTCACAATCCTAGACTGCTGGCTTCCAACCACTTGCCTGCATGTCTGATAGCCCTTAACCGCTTCTGCCTGCCAGCCTGATCACCCCCTAACCACTCCCCTGCCAGCTTGATTGATGCCTAACTGCTCCCCTGCCAGCTCAATTGTCCCCAACTGCCCTCCCCTACTGGCCTAATTGCCCCCACTGTCCTACCCACTGGCCCAATCCCCCACAACTGCCCTCCCCTGCTGACCCGGTCACCCCTAACTGCCCTTCCATGCAGGCCCGGTCACCCCTAACTGCCCTCCCTTTCCTGCAGGCCTGGTCGCCCCTAACTGCCCTCCTCTGCAGGACTGGTGTCCCCCCAACTGCTCTCCCTACCCTGTAGGCTGGGTCACCCCCAACTGCCCTCCCTTGCTGGCCATGTTGTGGTGGCCATCTTGTGCAAGGGTGTGACAGTCAATTTGCATATTACCTCTTTATTATATAGAATTAGACAGTGCTGCTCTAAATTATCAACTGTAGCATCTTTTTAATGATATAAATATTTAAAGTTGGTAGGAAAGGTAACCTGACTTTTATCATATATGAAATAGGAAAGCACAATGTATCTGCTTATTTCTTCCCAGAAACAAAAATTCATCCTTAAAATATAAACATTCTCAAAAGAAAGTCACAAAGCATTATAATACCCACTGAATTACTAATTGATATATAGGGTATCCCCCCAAAAAATGTATGCACATACTTTGAATAATTATAAAGGCAGTGTTTATTAAAATACATTTCATGTTCAAAACTGAGCTGTTAAAGTGTACATAGATTGTTTTGGGACACCCTGTATTTATCTTAAGGTTGTTGAATTTCTCAATTTCATTTATGTTTAGTAGACTATCAAATCTGTAATCCTATATAATAAAAGCATAGTGTGCAAATTGTCCCCTCAACTGGGAGTTCGAGCAGGGGGAAAGAAGGGAGGCCTCAGCTGGCAGCTGGCAGCCACTAGGGATCCTACCAGTGCACAAATTTCGTGCACTGGGCCTCTAGTAAGACTATATAATGTTTCCTAACTTTATGTCTATATCTATACTTTTGTATTTATATCATACCATTAAACATGCTGTTGGCAATAGCTCCACAAGGAGCAATTGGTTTGTCTTCATTTCTTCGATAAGGTTCACATTCCTTACTGGGATTCTGATATTTAGAAGGAAAAGAAAAGAGAAATTATTGCCCAGGCCTCCAAGAGAACTATGAGCTAGGCTCCTATTTCTGATTAAAAATCCAATCCCTACTTGCTTCTCACTTGCAATGTATACAAAAAGAGTCTGTATTGTAAGTAGACTATAAACAATGCTGCATTTAAATACTAAAATACATTCCTTAACATTACTGCATTATCATTTTAATGTAACTTTTCCTTGCATATTTTGTCATACAGGTATATACCAAACTGACATTTTTATTTTCATATCAACACAGAAATCATAACCACAAAAAGTTTTCTGACCAAGAAAAATTAATAAGCAATCTACTATCAATCTAGTTGTGACATAATTGAAGGGATCTTAAACTGGAGGGGAAGAGACTGGAGATTCTAGTTCCAGCTGTGTACTATGTGACTTTGGGCAAGTCCCTTAATTTACCTGTGCCTCACTTATAAAATTAACAGGATTAATTCAAAATTTGTGATTCTGGGTTAAATTCCGTCAAATGAAGGAAGAAAAAGAGGGAGGGAGGAAGGGAGGGAGGAAGCTGGCTTAATGCAGATTCCTAGAATATAACAACCTTTTCTAAATTGTGCATACAGGTATAAGGAAAATGAAAATGCTGGGTAGGCAAAAAGCATTGGTTCCTACTGAAGATCTCAAGGAAATATGGCAGTTGCAGTGTTAAATGGAGATTCTACCAAGTAGAGAGATTAGGTGTATATATGAGTTGTTTTGGGACTCCAAGGCCACATTAAGTTATTTTTCAAAACAATCTCACATCGATGCTTCTCTCTTCTCTCTCTCTCTCTCTCTCTCTCTCTCAAAACAATAAAAACATAAAGTACAAAACAATGAGCCTAAAGTATAGGTTGATATATTATGAAGTCTTACACACAATGTTATGTAACTTCGACTTCAATCTGCCTATTTTTTAAATCTTTTAAGATTTTTTAAAATCACCCGTCTTAAATTTACAGTTTAGCCCTTGTCAGTGGTTAGAACGTCAGACCATGGACCAAAGGTTCACAGGTTCAATTCCCTGGGCAAAGGCACATACCTCAGTTGCAAATGCCTTCCCCATCCCCAGTTGGGGTGTGTGCGGAAGGCAACCAGTCAGTGTGTCTCTCTAACATCGATGTTTCTCTCTGTCTCCTCTCTTCTCCTTCCCTTTCTCTCTCTGAAGATCAATGGAAAAAATATCCTTAGGTGAGGTTGGAAAAAAAAATTCACACATGTTGGTTCAGACCAGGGACCAATAAATGATAGCATGCAGGCAAAATCCAACCTACCACCTGTTGCAATAAATAAAGTTTATTGGAATACAGTTTCACCCATTAATTTAAGTATTGTCTATAGTTGCTTCCATTCTAGAGAGGTGAGTAGCTGCTACAGAAACCATATAAACTACATAGCTGAAAGTATTTATCATCTGGCCCTTTAAAATAAAACATTTCATCCCTAATCTAGTCTAAAATCTCTGCTTGCAGTTTGTAAAAAAAAAAAAAAAAGAAGAAGAAGAAGAAGAAAAGAAAAGAATCAATCTCAACTTCTTTCACCCTCAGTGAAGTGAGTAGGTATCTAAATAAAATAATTATAAATCGACTACCACTTTGGGTCTCTGAAAACACACAACCTATGTTCCCAATCAACAAATTGAGAGAGGCCTAGGAAGTTGGTGTCTCAGAGAACATCACCTTCTCTGGATTTGAGTTCTAAAAATTAGATCCCACAGAGTAAATCCCATATAAATTATAAAATATTACAGCCTTAACTAGAATCTTTAGGCAGACTTGCTATTTCTTAAGAACCCAAACATCAGAAACTAGTAATAAAACCAGTAAGGACTGTCTAGGGCAGTGGTCAGCAAACTCATTAGTCAACAGAGCCAAATATCAACAGTACGACGACTGAAATTTCTTTTGAGAGCCAAATTTTTTAAACTTAAACTATATAGGTAGGTACATTATTATTAACTTAATTAGAGTACTACTAAGCTGGCCTTTGCTAAAAACTCAAGGGGCCAAAGAGCTGCATATGGCTTGTGAGCTGCAGTTTGCTGACCACTGCCTTAGGACAACTATATGTTTACCAGAACCAATCTGATCACAACATGATCTTAAATCACCTTTTAAGAGATTCATCGTTTCTAAGAGATCCTAGATTGTTCTGGGACTCTGATGGTTTGTTGGACTGGCAGCAGTAACATAAATACTTTACACCAACCACTACTATAAAAAGCTAAACAACAGTCAGAAGACTAAGATCCTCTATTCTGCCGATTCCCAAACCAGGCTGACCATCAGAAAGGGAGCTTGTTAAAAATACACATTTTAGAGCTCCACCGTTGCAGAAACTAACTTATCAGACTTAGGAATCTGGAATCCATATTTTCAAAAAAATTCCTCAGATAATTTTTCAGTAACCCACCCTTTGAACTTCACTACCCAAGCTTCCCACAAGTGAAAAAATGAAGAGCATATATGTTTAATTCTAAAACACAATCTCAGAAATTTAAAAAGGTAGCTAATTTAGATATTCTTAGTGTGATAATAATGAATAAACCCAACCAGAACAAATTACATAGCCTCATGCTAGACTCATCAAAATTCCATTACAAAGAGAGTAATTAAAGCAAAAATCCCAAATACACTAATAGAAACAAGCAGGTAGTAATTTGTCTTCTGGCTATGAGAAATCATTAATCTTTGTAAATTCCAGGGGGGAAATTTTTTGTAACTAAAAACCCTTGCTAAACAAACTATAAATGGCAAGTAAAAGTTTAATATATCCTAGCATTACTAAAATTAACATTTCTGGCTGCTCTGCCTGTGGAATAGCCTTCTCTCCGTTCTACTGCTTTACTTTAAATTCTTAATTGTTTTTAACATTTCTAACTAAACAATTAGCAGATTGTTTCATTAAAAATCACATTTTCATATTTCATCATTTTACTTACAAGTAAAGCAGTAGGGTCTCCATTTAGTTGACTATCATCTCGAGATTTCACATAACGACGGTGGTTTTGATAGAAATTAGACAGTCCATAATACATAAACACATTGCCCTAAAGGAACAGAAAGGGAAATTTTTTTTCACATAAAACCATTATGTATAAAATTGTGTTATGCATACATAAAGGCTACATAATTTTGAACTGTACTAGTTTAATAGAATTTGTGAAAACTTAAAAAACAGATACTGGGGTGAACTCTACCAGTATTTGGCAATCTAAAACAACACAAATTATAAGTAAGGTTAAAGAAAGTGTGTTGCAAAAATCCAAGGGTAAATTTTGAAAATATCCTTAAAGACTTCAAAAAAGTGCTATTTAGATTTAAAAGAACACACACACACTTATTCTGATCTACTTTCAACTTAAAATTTTCTCTAATTCAGATTGGTCTTTACCCAATGAGCAATTATCACCCAAGTAATTCTGAACTTGAGCTGAGTCATAATAAATTTCTTCACAGAATACTACATAATCGGAGCAATTATTAATAATTAGTAAAGTATTTAAAACAATGTGTCACTTTGTAAAAATCAAGAAAAATACTTTAATGTATTCAATGGAGCCAACTTGAAGTTGAGTAAGAACAGTAACCTACATACACTACCATTATTCACATGATGCCATTTTAAATGTAAGATTTTTTAGAGATAGCAAAAACATGAAGCAATTTTCTTCTTTTTGGTTGCTACCTCTATCATTTATAATCTTATTCTCAATTAAGAGAAATTAAAGAAAAGGAAGGATAATAGTGACAGATGGAAAACTGACTTTGGGTGGTGAATACACAATACAATATACAGATGATGCACTATAGAATTGTACACTTGAAACCTATATAACTTCATTAACCCCAATAAATTCAATAAAAATTTTAAAAATTAAATCTAAATAAAAGGAATTAAAGGATGAAAGGAATCCAAAAAAAAAAGAGAAATTCAATGACATTTCAAATATGCTTTATTTGATTTGCTATTTTCATACATATATAATCATTTATTTAGAGCTTGATTTTCAAATGTCAAATGTTTGCAAATCCTTTTATTCTATATAAAGAAAATGTTTACATGAAAACTACTTACTTTATTTTTGATTATGAAAATTATATCACAGCCCTGGCTCGTTTGACTCAATGGATAGAGATTCGATTGCCAGTCAAGGGCATATAACTCAGTTGAGGGTTTGCTTCCCATCCCAGGTGGGGGTGTGTGCAGGAGACAACCAGTAGATGTGTCTTTCTTACATGTCTGTCTCCCTCTCTTTCTCTTCCCCTCTCTTTCTCTCTCTCCCCCTCTCTTTCTCTCTCCCTCCCTTCTCCTGCATATATTTCAATCTCTCTACAAAAGAAAGAAAAAAAATCAATAGAAAAAATATTCTCCAGTGAAGATTAAAAAAAATTATATCACAGAAACAAAGGAAACGCTTTAAAAAAAAAAAAAGTATCATCTCAATTAAGAAGTACAGTAAATTCAACTTACAAACTAAAAAAAAATCATTTTAAATGAAATACTGAGACAAAATAACTTACTTGAAGTTCTCTGAAAAAGCGTTAGTGCAATTCAAATGGTTGGCTTGCGAAAGAACACAGAGCCCACAAAAGAATGAATCTGAAGGTTATTTCCTTTGCAGAAGAAATGTTCTAAAATAACTTACTAATGTAGATTGTAGCTTCTAAATCATTACAAGTCTCTTTCAATGCTTTAATTCTGCCTATTTTGACAAAAATGACTTATGTAATGCACCTTTATAATTTTCCATCACATTGAAAAAGAGTAGAATTTCTATGGTGTTTTCAATTTATTTGTTATTTCAGCTTTTGACACTGAAACAAAGTAAAATAATCTGTCTTCTCCCAAATTCATTTCCTTGTTTTTATAAAAAGGCAACATTATTTTCCTTTAGTTAGTGTAAGAGCACCTACAACCACTAGATGGCAATCATCTGCCAGAGACTAAAAAACTCATTACTATTTTTCAGAAAATTCAAGTGTAGAAAAATCTAAGAAGTTGGCATATATTAAAGCAATTTTGCTCCCTAAAAAATAAAAGAACAATTTTTAAGTTCAATTTTCAGGTAAAGAAGAGCACAAACTGGTCTTGCCATTTGTCCTGTATGCTCAGTTTCCCAGATTGCTAGGTAAGTATAAGTTTAAAAGACACAGACAGACCACACACACAGAAATGTGGTTCTAACTGCTTATCTACATTATAAAAGGTCAGGGACCATTACAACCTAAAGGCCCAGGTGGACTGAAGGATGGATGAACAGTCACCAGGAAGTGCATGGAGCACCCCTTGGTCCCTCCTCCGAGGCACACAGGCTCCTGTCACAGCAAGGCTGGCTGCAGATGGACAGGCGGGGCAGAGGGGTTGGGCGGAGCAAGGCAGGCGCAACAGCTTCGGATCAGGCCCAGAGGCCCAAATGAGAGAAAGGAGCAGGGCCTGATCCACAGCTTCCAAGGCATAGAAACTGACCAATCAAAACCAAATCTAGATGAATTGCGAAGGCAGAACCTAAGGTAAGGGCAGAAGATGGATTTTAAGGGCAACAACTGTTTGGTATAAGGTGTAAGAAAGCAGTTCAATTTTTTAATGACCAGTTCGGCAGTATAATGCATATTGCTGGCTATCAGTCCAGATGTAGGATTATGTATTTTTGTCTGCCAAGTGCATCTCCTCCTGCTAAAAAAGGCTTCCCTTCCCCCACCCATTTAAGCAATCCTATCATATATAATCTATCTATACTAATAAAAGGGTAATATGCTAATTAGACCGGGTCAAGCAGCCATCTTCCAGATGTCCAACTTCCTTCTGGACAAAGCCATGGTGGTGGGGGCCAAGGCAGAGGTAGTTAAGGACAATCAGGCCTGCAGGGGAGAGAATTGGGGGCGAGATCAGGCTGGAAGGGGAGGGCTGTTGGGGACAAGATCAGGCAGGGGAGGGCAGTAGGGGGTGACCAGGCAGGTAGGCAGAGAGGTTAGGGGTGATCAGGCAGGCAGGTGAGAGATTAGGAACCAGTGGTCCCAGATTGTAAAAGGATGTCTAACTGTCGATTAGGTGGGATCCCCAATTGGAGAGGGTACAGGCTGGGCTGAGGAAAACTGTCTCCTCGTGCATGAATTTCATGCACCAGGCCTCTAGTCAAAATAAAAAAGGTCAATAGTTTCACTAAGTGTTTGTATTTATAGTAATGACTCATATCTATTAAAAAATAATACTGTAAAATAATGGGTGAATTAGTATTTATTTTATTTTATTTTTTGGTTGTTGTTGTTGTTAATCCTTGCCTGAGGATATTTTTCCATTGATTTTTAGAGAGATTGGAAGACAAAGGGAAAGACGGAGAGAAACACTTATAAGAGAGAAAGACATCAATTGGTTGCCTCCTACCAGGGCCAGGGCCTGGGGAGCCTGCAACCAAGGTACGTGCCCTTGATCAGGATCAAACCCAGGACCCTTTGGCCCACAAGCTGATGCTCATCCATTGAACCAAATCAGCTAGGGCAGTATTTATTTTCTAAAAACTTGTTTTAATATTAGAAGTGGGCAAAATAATTTGAATAATTTTAAAAATACAAGTGTAGATATAAACCATGATCAAAATTGATTTGTACAATAAAATCTTTACATTTCGATTATAGAGTGCTAACTAAAATACCTAAACACGTCTTTAATTACCAGACAGCATTAATTCAATAGCAAAAAAAAAGCTTAGCATAAGAGCATCTACAACCAATTACTTAAGGTGACTTCTCCAAACACACACAAAAAAATTTTGTAAAAAAAATTAACATACCGTATTTTTCGGCGTATAAGACGACTTTTGAAACAAACAAACAAAAAAAGCCTGCTCAGATTGGCCAGAGTCAGAGAGTCAGTCTATTAAAAAAAAAAAAAAAAAAAAAAAACTGGTGTTGCCTCAGAAGTGGGGAGTAGTCTTATACAGCAAATATTGGCCTAAACCTATGTTTTAACTGTAAAATTAGGGGGTCGTCTTATACGCCGGAAAATATGGTAATACCAACACATTACTTGGGAATACAGACCTCAAATGACTGTTCCAGTGTGAAGTTAATTGTACAAATACAAGGTGTCACGTTCCGGGACAAACATTTATTGCAGGGACTGGAAGGGTCTACTCCTGTATAATCAATCTGCAAAAGAGAAAAACAGAACTAAGTACTTACTTGGAAAAAGTGGATACATTCTAAAATAACTTGCTCTAAAAGAGGAAAGTGAGTCCAATGAAGCAACCTACAGCTCAGGAAAAAAGCTTTTTAAGGTTATCTGTTTATTTTAGTATAAAGAAGAGAGAGGATCTGAAATGGGCCATAAAAAAAAAATAAAAAAGAGGGGCATATGAAGCAGCAAGAAGGTAGAGAGCACAGGCACCTTTCAGGACAATGAGCATAAATACTTTGGATTTGTGGAGCATTTTCATGAGACAAGAAAATGAAACCAGGCTAAGAAAATAAACTAGAGCCATATAACACACAATGTTTGAATACTGTTTACTGACTGTTTACTAAGGGCCAAATATTATAAACACTTAACACATATCATTTCATTAAAAAATACAATAGTTATTGCAAAGTTTGTTTTCACTTTCCTTATTTTATAACTACTGTCCCAGTGCACGGATTCATGCACATTGAAAGAAAATTAATTAGAAAGTGGCCGGTAGGACTGGGCAAGATGGGCTGAACACTCCCTGGATCCAACCTCCCACAATTCCTCCCTGGCCGGCCACGCCTGGGGTGGTGCTGTGGCTTGAAGGGTGTCAGTAGAGTGAGCGGCGTCCCTTCAGCAGGTGGTGTCTCTCAGCCTGGCCTGGGGATTGGACCAAAACTGGCTCTCCAACATCCCCAGAGGGGTTCCCGAATTGCAAGAGGGCAGTTCTTGGGTTCTCCTGCATTGAGCACCTGTCTCCTGGTGGTCAGTGCAGGTCACAGCTACTGGTCAGATGGACACTTAGCCTTTTATATATATAGGTAGGAAACTGCCACTTAGGAAGATGTAGCAATTTCCCCAAGATCATCTAGCTAATAATTAGGAGCAAGTATTTGAATCCAGCTCTGCCTTTCTCAAAAATCTATACTCCTGCCACCATATTATGCTCTCTCACACAATGGACATATAACATTCTTTTTAATGTACAAACTCAAGACCTTCAAATTGTTAGAATGAAGAAATATCATTGAGATATAATTATGATTTGTTTTTGTTGTTATGAAACTGCCCAGCATCGCAACTCTCTCCTAAGTATTGCGGAATTCTCCATTTTGAGAATTTAGTAGGGAGACAGGATTCAGTCTCCCACCACAGAAGCCGAATGGGTAAATGATTCCTCCTTCTCCCTAATCCCAGGCAGCCAGTACAAAAGCATAAAATCTGGAGCAATTCAATTGAGTCGAGATGACTGAGTCTCCATATAAATCACTAAATCTCGGGAGACAGAGCAGAGTGGGTGTGATTATATTAGTAGCCATAGCAGTAGCAGGGAGAACTCAGCAGCAGCTATAGTTTTAAAAAACTGTTTCTGCTTCCAAACTTCCTTTTCTGTCTCCAAACATGCTTCTCTCAATTTCCTATCCATTTTATGTATGACCTACTCAATCTCCCTCTAAAAAATTCCTTTCCTGTGTAAGCTATCCAGAGTTGGTTTCTGCTTCTGACAACAAATTCTCTGAAAGCTCAGTCACCTTGAGTGTTAAAAATGTCCTGCAGGAAATTAAGAAGCTGAGAGGTTTCTAAGGAGGCTAACATAACCAAATATTTGTGTAAGAACAGATTTAAAGAGTCTAGGAAATAAAACTTTCATTTCTTCCTTAATGCCCCATCATAAAGTAATCATTCCTTAAATTAAACTGTAGAGAAGGAGGAAATTCTACCCCCCTAAGTTTTTCCAGCTAGTCTAATAATTAAATAAACCATGTGATAGATTAAAAAGAGACAATAACCAAATTTAATACATACCTACACATGTGCACCCCACATTCATGAGAGGTTCCAGGAAAGAGAGGGAAATGAGGTACATATGACATTCTGAGCTAAGGATCACCTAGGGGCTTCAGAGGGAAAGAAGGTCACTGCAGGACAATAAGAACAGAAGATGTTCAGTAATTAGAAGTTTGCCCTGCCATGTAGCTAGGTCATAAAGTTATTTCTGGTTGTAACTCTTACTATGGACACGACCCTAATTTAAAGTCCTTAAGGGAGAGGTAAAAGTTTCTCATAAGCCTGCAAGGTCTTGATTGAGATAATTCACATTCCAAAGAGGCAGGTTTTGTAACTTTGAGCCACTGTAAACTAAAACAGGGTGGCTTTTTAGCCCAGGGGACATAGAGCTATGGAGAGGGCCATTCCAACCCTATTCTAGAATTCTTAATAAAGGCAGCATTGAAAGTTTTAAGAGATAGATCCTTAGCTCGGACGCTGAGGTACAGCAACACTAGTAGCAACAAGGAAATTCATTCAATTGACATTAGGTAGGACAGTCATCAGATAGGCCATGGTTGGCAAACTGCGGCTCGCGAGCCACATGCGGCTCTTTGGCCTCTTGAGTGTGGCTGTTCCACAAAATACCATGGCCTGGGCGAATCTACTCTGAAGAAGTGGCGTTAAAAGAAGTTTAAATTGAAAAAATTTGGCTCTCAAAAGAAATTTCAATCGTTGTACTGTTGATATTTGGCTCATGAGTTTCCGACCACTGAGCGAGGGGAGAGGATGGGCATGGCATTACCCCTGCTCTAGGTGACTAGAGCAGATTCTTCCGTTTTATGAGTCATGTTAGTGTCACCAGTGATACCACAGCAGCAAGCAAAAAAGGGAAGTCTGTAGAGGCTGAGCAATTGTCCACATTCTTGCTTCAGAGGAAGTAATGCAAGTTACATTGCTTCCTACCCATGGCTCAGATATAAGGGATAGCACTAAGTTTTCCACAGAGGCTACTGTAAATGTAAAAGAAGCCAGCTGTTTAACTCAGGCCCTCAAAGGAAAGAAAGTGAATGTGGATTATGAGAATCAGAAGAAATGTATGTAAGAGGGGCATAGTGAGGCAGCAGGGTGCCCTGGAGTACAGTACAACATTTTAAAAAGTATTTTGAATGCTTCTTTTTTATTAAATAGGTAGTAAACCAATATAAAAAAAAAAAAAAAACTTCCCCTCAAAAATACTCACCAGATAAAGGGGGTGGAGGAAATAAATATTTAAATTATTTAGACCCTCTTAAAACTTAGCAGTTGACTTTTTTAAAACTGAGTCATTCTGGGTTATGTTATTTTTGAAAATTAGTTTTAAAAAATCAACAGCTAAATTCTAAATTTACAGGTACAAAACAAATGTAATCCTTTATCACCTAGTAAAATTCTATGGGTCATATGAAATCTGTTGTATGCTTATGTAAGTTAGAGACTGAATGGGAAGCATAGACAAGGTTTTTACTCCTAATTCTATGGTAAGCCTCAATTTTATAATTGTAAATATAAGTTATCTTTGAAGAAAGAACAGCAATAACAAAGGTTACAATGTCTAGTCCATGCTGGAACTGTTCTTAATTTGTTACATAAAGGAAATTGAGATTCAGAGGTTAAAGAACCAAAAAACCAAACACCTGGTATATGACTATATCCATTTCCTAGAGTTTCCCTAACAAAGGACCACAGACTGGATGTCTTAGAACAAGAGAAATTTATTATCTCATGGTTGGAGGCTAAAAATCTGAATTCAAAGTGTCAGCATGGCTACACTCCCTCTGTGGCTCTTGGCAGAACTCTGCCTTGCCTCTTCTAGCTTCCTTGGCATTCCTTGGCTTGCAGCTGCACTGCTCCACTCCGCCTTTGTCGTTACATGATATCTGTCTTCCCATCATCTTCCCTCTATGAGTGTCAGTATCATCTTATAAAAACACCAGTCACATTGGTTAGGAGCCCACCCAAATTACCTTAACTTGACTACATCTGCAGTGACTCTACTGCCAAATAAAATCACTTCCACAGGAATTAGAAATGAGGATTTCAACATATCTTTTGGGGGAGGAAGGGAGATACAATTCAATACATCACATGATAGAATCGTATCCTGTCCAGCTCCAAAGCTGCTGTTCTTTCCATCAGACTGTACTCTTGCTTCCCATAATCTTTAACATTATATTATACTTGAGGCCTGGTGTACAAAATGCATGCACGGGGGGGTTAGGGGGGTGTCCCTCAGCCCAGTCTGCACCCTCTCCAATCTGGGACCCCTCTCACAATCCAGGACTGCTGGTTCCCAACTGTGCTCGCCTGCCTGCTTTCCTGACTGCCCCTAACTGCTTCTGCCTGCAGGTCTGGGTCCCTCCCAACTGCCCTTCCCTGCAGGCCTGGTCGCCCCCAACTTCCATCCTCTGCAGGCCTGGTCCCTCCCAACTGCCCTCCCCTGCTGGCCTGATCGCCCACAACTGCCCTCCCTTGCAGGTCCCTCCCAACTGCCCTCCCCTGATGGCCATCTTGTGTCCACATGGGAGCAGGATCTTTGACCACATGGAGGCAGCCATCTTGTGTGTTGGAGTGATGGTCAAGCTACCATTTCTGTTTGGATTTATGTATCTTCTATCATTGGAACTTTGTAGCCTTGAGTGGCGCTGTCACCCCACAATCTGCAGGGCGATCCATAAGAGGGCTCTGCAATCAACTGCCCTAATGAGGGAGGCCCAGACCACCGGCCAGTAGGAAGATCAATTGGGGTAGGGGGGAGCTCTACGATCATCCCAAAGAAGGAGGCCCAGGTGTGCAGGGCCAGCCAGCAATCGCCCCACAGAGGTAGGCCCAGGCCAGCCAAGGGATTACACCCCACGTCTGTTGCCTGCAGAGGGAGGTGACCAGTGATAGGGGAGAAGGGGACAGCGCTGCACAGATGGCAAGCAGTGGCAGCGGCAGGGCCAACTGCCAGCAGCCGGGGAAAGGAAAACCCCAAAAGGCCCCGATCTAATTTCATGCCCTGAACCTCTAGTTATCAATAAGTGTGCACATCTTTCTTTTCAAAGGAGATTGAGTAAAAAAAGAGAATATAGACCAGCACTTAGAGGAAACAAAACAAAAGATCAGAGTGCTAGGATTTGAATCATGGCTGTGTGACTAAGCAAATGACTTATTCTCAGATTAACATCCAACCTCT